TGCTACCTCAGAATTATTACAAAGTTCTATCTATCAGAGATTTTTGGCCTTTTTGAGTTACTAAGACAATGAGGTTAGAATCCAAATGATCTATCTTCTCTATCAAAATTGTAAGATTATTGGGAGTCGTTATGAAGCTACTTAAATAATAAATGCGTTCGAAAAAGCTTGTCATGATGTGAAACTCAAAATCTTTTACGTCAAATTTCTCAAATCTAGGTACTGAGCAGATAGAACTATGTAATTCTGTGGTAGCGATCTGTCTATAGTTTTCTGACACTGCCCAATAGGACAACCTGTCTAAAATGATCACTTTTCTCCTCTACAATGGACGGCCGTCTTGTATAGGTTCGACTGTATATTTTTATATATTCAGAACAAATGTGATGTTGGTCATCGTATCTTGAATGTAGGTCAATAGACTGTCAAATGGTTTGAAGAGATTTCTGTTCTGCCATGTCTTGTAAGAGAATCTTATGATATTGTCGAAGTGGGAGTATGTATAATTGCTCCCAGGTTTGCAATTTTCTTGTCATCCTTCTTCGATACAGTGCTTTGATATAATTATTCTTTCCAGTCACGTGATAAGATCAGATAAGACATCGATGTCGTTATGCTTTTACAGTGTGACTGGTTTGTTAAAAATTGTTCAACTCTGGAAAACAAAATCAAATTATGAGACATACGAAAGTTAGCTCTTAGTACTCTTGTATTATTTATAGAGCAAGCTGGCTATTGGCTTGTACTGAAGACCCGCAGATCGACCTCCGCAATGTCTTTAGATCATCTAAACAAAAACAAAAACAAACAACAGCTGACCTATATTTGTTCCGCCTATTCGGTTATAGCACAACACCATCGACAAATTATGATTATTAACGATCCCGTTGTGGAAGAAGTTGACGGTTTTGCTCTCATCAGCTTCGGTGACAGAATTTGTAAACAGCACAAACAGACTTCAACATAAGTTAAGGACCACCTGCAAACACTCTGACGAGTGGTCTTCTTTGGTCGACCTGCACGTGGGCGTTCTTGGGCTGATCCAGAGGCTTGATGGCGCTGCCTCAGGCGGACAATGACAGAGTGTGACACCGCAAGCTGTCTGGCAACTTCTCGGGCTCCAACTCCATCCTCCAGACCTGTCATAGCTCTGGCACGATCAAAGTCTCTCGTCTTGGTGGCATTTTGATGCGATACTGAATTTTGCGCAAACGGCGGCTTATATTGCCACCAAAGTGAGCACAAATCGAGACCGTACGTCCGTTTATGAGGTGCACCAGATATTTTAACCTAGGAATGTCCATGGTGTCGCACACAAGTCGATAAAAAAAACAGCAAATTTGGCTGAAATTCCTCGAGGATTTCCGGGCTGTACGTGGTGGTTTTGCCCCTTTAGGAAGCTTTGCTGTACACATTGGTAACCCATTAATACTTCCAGAGCAAAAACAATTGAAACTTCCCTTGCTGTCTTTTTTCGGATAAAAAAAAAAATCAGGGCTGTCTGTCAAGGTGGTCCTTAACTTATGTTGAAGTCTGTACATTATGTCGGCACCTAGGTCAACACAGAAGAGAATACTCAAACCATTTTCTCTTCATGAAGCAAGAAGTCGGCAAGTTACGCCAATTCAGTATTGTTTCTTAGCTTGATGATGTGTGAGAAGGGATGATCGCTGTTCAACTGTAGATCATTGTCCCACAGAAGGAAACAAAAAGTAGAGTGTTTGCTTCAACTGATATTTCTTTGTCTCACTTATTCTCTCCCCTGCCAATTGCAGCCGATGGATTGTTGGTTCGAGTCCAGGTCTTGCGTGTAACAGAATAGAAGGGGAAAAAAGATAATTACAAAGAAAACACATTCATGCATTGTTTACGACTAAAGGAAAAAGCACTGTTTATGTTGATTGTCGCATGTTTAGTACTTGATATAAGAAAGTGTTCACATTTGGCCTTGAAAAGAGATTTTTAAGTCTAATATAATATATCAGGATATATCTTATACGTGTATTCGTATGTAGATATTTTAGATATTCTAATGACCCAATTCTTCTTTATTTTTTTTCAAAGACACTGTTTATTCTAGAATTGTTTGAATGTTGTTTATATTGTTGTGTAACTATTTCGTATAGGTGTTAGTGCAGTGTGCGTGTCTTCATGGTTGTTTTTTCCCACTCTTTTGATGTCATTTGTTTTTCAATCTCAAAATCATGCATTTTATATATCACTCCATTTATTATGACAGTCATTTTGATTGTGGTATTATGAACTTGTGCCAATTATTGTGACGGTGATATGGTATCAGTTTTTGTATGACCTGTGAAAACAAATATCTTTTTTTCTCTGTAATGTGAATATGAGTGTCAAAACTAAAGATCTTTACTCTGCTAGTCTAATTTTTTCTTTCTCTTCTGATTATTATGTTTTACTTCTCCTTTTAAAAGATAATATGTGTCAAGACATCTGTGTGCCCATGTCAATAGCGTTAGTTTCTTTATTCATCTTCTTTATAAGTTAAAGTTTTAAAAAATCCAGATCCTTGTCCTAAATCTCTGAATCTTCATGATTTTCGTCATGATTGTTCTCATTCTTATCCTTTTACTTATTGTTTTTTCTTGTTCTTATTTTAGCTTTTTCTGATCTTTGTGAATATAGAAGTTTTTGCAGTGTATACATAATCTGTAGAAGTATGACTTGAGATAAAGCACCTTCGTGGAATCAGCTCTCGAACAATGTTTGCCCTCGTAAAACCACAGTAAATTATCTGCAGGGGCAATTAAGCATTATCTTATCATAATATCTTATCTTAATATCTGATCTGATCTAATATGATCTTATCTGATCTAATCTAATCTGATCTGATCTGATCTGACCTGATCGTTTGTGTGTGTACAGAGGTGTGCGACTGCAACTCGATGGGCTCCTACAGCACGACCTGTGACCCGCGCACCAAGCAGTGCACGTGCAAGCCAGGTGTTGGCGGGAAGCGCTGTGACAGATGTGACATTGGCTACTGGGGATTGCACAGGATCGGGGAGTCCGGGAACGCTGGGTGTATACGTGAGTACTGGGGTGGGGG